AGGTATGAACTTCCTACTGTCTTGATATAGATCAGAGCTTCCCTGTCTGAACATGCAGCACAACTCCTGGTACCAGCTCTAATAATGTCACACACTGACTACTGCAGCTCCTTACTGGCAGGCCTCCTGCATCCACAGTCAAACCTCTGCAGATGATCCAGAATGCAGCAGCACGTCTGGTTTTCAACCAGCCAAAAACAGCACATGTCATCCTGCTGTTCAGATCGCTTCACTGGCTTCCAGTTGCTGCCTGCATCAAATTCAAAACTCTGACACTTGCTTACAAAACCACAACGACAACAGCTCCCTCCTCCCTGAACTCTCTCATTCAGATCTACACTCCCTCTGCTCACTACGCTCGACCAACAAAAACCACCTGATAAAACAACCACAACAGGGCCTGAGGTCGATAGCTGGACTCTTCTCCTCTGCAGTTCCCTGGTGGTGGAACGAGTCACCAAACTCTGTTCAATCTGCTGAGTCCCTCTCAGTCTTTAAGAAAAGACTAAAGAGCAGCTCTTCACTGAACACTTTTGCACTTGACAGACTGAAAACAAACAAACAAAAAAAGAAAAAAAAAACTCCTAGTCCCTCCCACTCAGCCTGCTATTGGCTTCAACACCCCATCACACTTGAACTTGTTCTATGGCACTTATCTAGAGTGTTTTTTCCTGATTAGATCTTTGTTTGTGTTGTATCTGCTCTCAGATGTACGTCGCTTTGGATAAAAGCATCTACTAAATGACATTGTAGGATTGTAGAATATACATCATCTTTACAAGTGCATATAAACTTTTGTTCATGTCTGTTCAATCAGTTCACTCCAGTTTAAATTATTGAGGAGCTTCTGCTCAACCATCTCTGATTTTCTTCAAAGTTTTTTTTTTTTTTTAAATCATAAACTGTGATTATTTAAAATGGTATCTGTTCAATTTTAGATTGATATGCCAAAAACTTTCTGAGATGTTGAGTGCACTAAAACAAATAGTCGTAGCTGCTGGACTTCACTCCAGTTTTATTTTGGAAATAAAACAAAAGAGGTTTGTTCTGTTAGAGTATAAGGTGAACTTCACATTGTTTATGGTGATATTAGCCTCAGTGATGACTCAGTAAATGGTTTTCTGGTTCAAATGGGGTGGTAGCAACACGCACAAAGGTTCAAGATGCCCGAAGACACCCCACAAGTTCCTGCATTGATACACAGCGTTCGGTTGCTGTTGTAAATTTGGAAGTTCAAACACATTGTGGACTATGAATAAACCTTATAATGTGCATGGAGCTACAGGAGGAGCTCTGCTTCACACATCACCTTTTCTTTGTCGTCCCAAACCAAACAAACAAGAGAAAANATAATTTTAAAAAACAAAAACTTTCCTCTGCCTCTCCAAACTGAATTATGTCACTGGCCTCGTGAGAACTGCCACCTGCAGCAGCCTGGGTGGTGGCAGCTGTCGTGAGGTTAGTGCCGACAGCAGGAACAAACCCGGAACAACAAAGGAGAGAGCTGGATGGATGTGACAAAGGGGAAGGCATTCATGCTAAAAAACAAAGAAGTTGTGTAAATATCCTGAAACATGGGACAGCGAATTGACTTTCCTAAAGAGGAGCAGGATGGGGCACAGTCACACAAGATTTGTAAATGAGATTTTAGTGTCTTCAACAAGTGTGTAGCTGAGATGTTCCTGGACTCTGCTATCGCACGAAAATACTCATCAAGAAAAATCAAAGCTACACAACTCAACAAAGGTAAGTTGAGTCAAATTAAGTACGAGTATTATCTATGCGTATGCTTATCTGATAATGTCCCGCATGCATATTGTTGGGTAACTGTTAGCTAACGTTAATTACTGGGCACTCACTCACTGAGAATATTATAGTTATAGTTATATAGTTATGGTGTCATCTTTTGACAGTATGAGAGTATAGGCTGTAGTGGGCCTAAAATGTTACCACTAATGCATTTTATTTATTTTTTACTCTTATGCTTTTGTAGATCTGTGAGAAGATTCTATGAAGCAGTGCTTCTCCTCCTTTCCCCTCGACCATCCACTCCTGAGGGACATGAAAGTGGTGGACCCGGCTGCTCGCCTCGACATTACTCCAGGGACAGGTTGATGTTCGGGTCAGCTCCCCATTGATAGAATTAATGAAATACTGCATGGTTTGATCTGCGATGTTTAGTCGAACATTGGTTTTATTTTACAGTGGAAAGGCTCGGGGCCTTGTTCCCTAAGTCGAGCTTGAGTGAGGATCAGCTGAGAGAGGAACTCATTGACTCCCAGGTGACTGATAGCAAGCAACTCCCCCAAGTAGACAAAACTGACAGATTCTGGTGCCTGGTAGGGAAGGACGTGAGGTTCAGTGAGCTGCCAGGACTAATGAAGCCTTTACTATGCATTCCTTACAGCGATGCCACTTCTGAAAAGGTGTTTGGTTGGTGAGAAAGATTGTTACAGAGAACAGGATGTCGTTAGACAACAGCACTGTTTGTGCTTCACTCTCATGTAAAATCAACCACTCTGGCCCACAAATGCACTCCTTCCAAAAAAGTGCTAAAGGATGCAAAGTCTGCAACAATCAGTATAAAGTCGTTCGTGAATGCCAGAGATCCACATGAGTGAACATG